TAACGCGAGGAAGGTAACTCACCGAGACGAAGTTCCCCGAAGTTTCCACAGCCAATTTTCTTGCCGACCCGGAAGTTCGGGCCGACCATGAGCACGCCGGACGATGAGGTGACGCTGTGCCGGGACGAATGCACGTTCGACCGGGCGGCATTACCGCTGCCCCTGGAGGTCCGTTTGGCGACCTCCTGGTCGCGCTCGGAGCCGCGCGCTCCGAGCTCCTTGTCGCCGCGGTTATCCCTGCCGTCCCGCTTCTGCATCTCGTACCGGCCGTTGTTATCCACGGTTGCGATGATTTAATTATCGATACACGATCCAACTGCGCGCACACGATTTTCCACCACACTCGCGTCGACAATGACGACGGCGACGACGACGACGACGACGACGACGACGATGATGGCGAGGGCGATGTCAGTTTTGGGTCAATGACGGGGATCGATCCCCGTGCAGGGCATGAAGAGAAACGATGGATACAACGCGACACTCACCGCAGTTTCCGCAAGCGGAAAAGGGCACGCGCGGGCGCGGTATACACCGTTGTAGGGTGCGGAAGGGTAGGACGCGCGGGTGACGGTGACAGGAGAGTGGGAAAGGGGGAGGGAGGGGAGAGAGAGAAAGAGAGAGAGGGTGGCTGGCTGGCTGATTGTCAGAGTTCGACGGACGATGCCACCTCACGGGGATCAATCCCCATGCCAGCCTAACCTCTCAAGCGCGAACGATCTTATCTTTTTCGCTCACCGAGCGTTGTTTTAAGTACGATCGGTACGATCGGTACGATCGACGACACGTAGGACGTGAACGTGGAAGGGCGCGGTGCGTCGCGGTGCGCCGAGGAAGCGTATCTGAGATGCTGTCACTCCTACTCCTTGTTCGCGCCTGGCGCGGCCCGATGGTCGGCAAACGTCACGGCAACAGGAGGAATCGAACGGTCGTTGCGGCGTCGTACGGCGTCGTCGTTCCGGACGATCCCATAGCAATTTCGATCCGTCTCTCACGCCCGGCGGCGGCCGCCGGGATGCCGGGATTGCCGGGTGTCGTAACAGTCGACGACAGGAATCGCGCGGCTCACGCTCTGCCGACGCGACGCAGCACGGCATTACCGTGGCGGCGGCGACGGTTGTGACGGTCGTTGTTGCGCACTACTCCTTCTGTTGCTGCCGGTAATGCTGCTGGTAGTGCTAGTACTGCGTTTCGCGGTCGTCGGCTCCTCCATTACGCGCCGCGCGGAGCGCCGCGAGGATTTACCTTCGAGCGAGCGAGTTCAAAATTCTCGCTGCGCTGCTCCCCCGCGGAGTTCACGCTACTCCGATTCCTCGTCGACTCGGCGGCAACTTCACTCGACTCCACTCGACTCCGCGCGCGACTCACGACTCCGTTGGACTCCGTCCGTTCGTAACGCGACTCTCTCCGTTCGCTGATCGCGCCGGACAGGCAACGGCGAGGCGTCGAGATTCCCTAGGGGCCGCACAGGCGCGTATCTCCCTCGTATCCACACCTATACTTTACTCCCGTCCTCAAATTCGAGCGCGCGTTTCACGACGATGCACCCACGCACCGTGTCAACAGCGTGCGCTCCCGATCGGTTCTGACGCACGCCCGCACACATACACACACACACATACAAACACACACTCTCACGCTGTTTTTCCCTCTCCTTCTTTCTTTCTTCCCACTCTCTCTCTTTCTCTCTTTATCACTGCCGCCACGACACCGGACTGCTCGGACTCGGATTATGAGCGCTCCGCGGATCGGTCCTTCTTCCCTTGATGTCGCGATACTCCCGTGGTGCTCCGCACTGCTCCGCACTGTTGTTCCGCTGAATGTGCAGCTGTCGCGGGGACGCGCGCGCTCGCGCTCGCGCGTTTTTTTTTTACACGGAGGCGCTCGCGCCGCGCGATCTCCCAACGCACGCACGCACGAACGGTACTCCGTGGACTCGTCCTTATCCCCGATCAAACGTCTCGCGAACGACAGGCCAGCGCACCTGCCTCACGCGCTAAGAGACTTAAGTGAAATGAGTCGGATATCGGCAGGCCCACCAACCGCTACCGTCATGCTGAACTTGCTCACTATGCAAATTCGTGCCTTTGTGCGTTCGCTTTGGTGCTCGCAGTGCTTTAAGCATTTTTTCATCCTTGTCATTTGATAAATATTAAACAAGGACAAAATGATGTTTACCAGTGCTGTGAGAGTCAAATAAACGCTACCCGTAAATAATAATAAAAAATATAATTGAGATAAACATAAAAATATTTATATTTGTCACCAACTAAACGCAGAGATGTTTACTGTCCATTTCTGTCAATATAGATTAATTTTAATCTCGGTTTAATTTACTGTTTATCCTTCTCTTATTCTCAGAACTAGGAAAAGATAAAAAGTAAATTAAACAGAGATTAAAATTAATGTATATTGGTAGAAACTGATTTAATTCGTTTAATTATTATCCGTGGCGACCGACCAATCGCAGTCAATCTCGGCTTTCTGAATTATTTTATGCTGACTCGTTTCATTTGTTACTAGAAGTTCTAGTTACAGATGTGAGAGGTGTGAAATAATTTTTTTCTTTCTTTCTTATGAATTGTATATTTTCTTTCTCGAACTGTCTGAATCAATGTGACGGATAGAAGGAAAAAAATCGCACTCTGAGAAATATGGAAACGGAAAAAAACGAAGTTTACGAATAATATAAAGTTGAATATCAGCTTAGGTTGGCAGACGTGAATAGCGCGACAGCGCGTGATATAAAAATTCATTTATTTCTAAATGTATATGTCGGCTGGAAAGAGTCCAGTTTTCGCTATTTTCGTCGTCGGCGATTCGTAATTTACGCGACTGCGCGTGTAAACGAGACAGAGAGAGGAGTAACACCGTCGGAGATCAATATGACCGATATTGTGGGACGCACGTGAATGTCTCGTCTGGTTTCACGCGAATGACGTAACGGCAAGCGGCATTATAACACAAAAATGGCCGGCGCCGTGTGGGCCGAGGACGAGATCGGACGAAAGTGGGACCGCTGCTTCACAGACGCCATCCTCAAATTCGGTAATTATCGTGATGGAACTCGTCCGCGGTGACGGATATTACTTTTTATGGCGTTACTGACAGATCTCTTTCCTCAGGCGGTGGCGTGATCCTCGGTGGAGTATTTTCTCTATTTTTCTTCAAAAGTAAGATACATCACTCCTATGACATAACTGTATTTGTTATTGTAATTGTCGGAGTCAATGGCAAGATACATTCAGGGATTCATACCTAGATTTGATCCTGTTAAGATTAATAATTGCATGCATTTTAAACTTAGTCTATGATGTGTTCTTCCTGTTTCTCGGTTCTTTCTCTTTTATTTTTTTTGTCTCGTATTCTATTTCTTCATTTTTTTTGTCGTTTGAGAGAAAAGTCGACCAACTTTGGAAAAGACAAAAAACATGATTGTTAATAAATGGTTACGAAAAAAAGGCAAGAAGTAAAAAGCAAGAAACAGGATGCAAAGTATGTTGTAGATTAGTCTTTAATCACATATGTGCTTCATTGTAGAAACATTAATCATCTATGATGTCATGTAACTTAAAAGTTATATAGCTGTATATCTCTATATTTAAGTCTCAACAATTAATCAATGTTCACTATTTGTAATCTTTTTTTTATAAGCAAAAAGTACCCAGTTAAAAAGAATTAATTGAGTTTTCTGATTCTAAATGGAAGTACAGTTTCTTTTACTTGTATTATAGTTTTTACAGAATATTTTTATTTTCCATCAAGAGAATAGTTTTAATAGATGGGATTAGTGCTACTTTAATGTATGTTGTAATAAGTGATAAATAACGGTGATACTTGATCATAAGTTAATAGCTGCGTTCAGCATAAAAAGCAGCTTTACAACTCTGTTATTTTAATATAATTAGTCTTGCTCCTAATTCCTCATTGGATCTAAATATATAACCAACCATATTAAAAAATCTTACAATGCTGCAAGTTGTTTTTTCTTCTAAATGCAATCAATACTTAAATTTAAAAATAATTTGTGAAAAGAAATTTGAAAGAATCATATACTGCCTGTTGTCAAATTTCTTTTTCAATTATTATAAAACATATATGGATACACTAAATTCTCTTTATAGGAAAAAAATGGCCCATTATAGCTGGAGGTAGCTTTGGATTAGGTATGGCATATTCCAATTGCGAGGAAGACATCAATGCATCAATACGTCAACAGAAATCCAGAATTTGTAAAACTGAAGAAAATAAATAATTAGAACAAATTGTAAAAACAAAATTAAAGTTATTATTAATATAAGAATTATAATAAACTAAATAACTTTATCGCAATATCTATTGTTTTTGTATATTTGATCTGTACCTTTTAATTTTAGAAAAGTGAAAACACACAATAAATGTCTTTGTAAAAGAAATATATTTCTTGTTTGTTTATTAACATTACAGTAATATAATTATAGAAAAATACAAGTATGAACTATCAACAAATATTAATATACATAAATATGTAATAGCATATTAAGAAATATAAGATTTTTTAATTTTTTTCATCATTGCTTATAATTATTTAAACACATATTTATACTCATAAATTCTTTCATTATATAATATATGTATATATATATATTTTATATATATATATATATATATATATATATATATAATGCTGAAAGTCATAGTGCATTCAAAAGTGATGTGCAAACCATAATGATTAGTAATATTCCATAATAGATATAATCTATTATAATTGACATTGCATAAACAGATTCTGTTTAATTATTTGTTTAATTAACACACTTATCACACTTCAGAATTTCCAAAATTAACAAAAATTTTACAAAGTTTTGTATGAAGTTAAAAAGATGTAAAAATAATAATCAACCAATATGTGAAGATATTCAAATAAACAAATATGTGTTTTAATCTATAATTATATTTTTAATAAATTGTTAATTTGATTACATTTAATACTGCAAAGGAAACGTATAAATAAATATCAATTTTGGAGATTCTGAGGTTTTATATAGTACATGAAAATTCTTGTGTCTTTATTTGGCATCTTAGTGTATATGCTCAAGTATGGAATACGCTACCGAACGAGCAAAAAAGAAATGTTTGTAGAGTGGAATTGTATAATTTATATCTTAAGATTAAACACCATGCCCAAAAATTGTTCGTAATGAATCGTTATCACGCCATCCAGATCCGTATCCAATCGTCTAAAAGCGCTGGTAAGAGTCTGAAAATAGTAATTATTACATTTTTGTAATTAGAGTTTGAATACTCACAATTATCAGATGTCATTTTTTAAAATTATAGTTAAATATGTAAGCTCAAAAATATTAGCTTAATTAACGTTAATTAATTTTTTTAATTGACAATAAAAATAATTCATTTAAATATATTATAATTTAATTCATAGATATGCAAACCAGTTTAAATTAAAGCTTCTACATATAAAAGTATTTTTAAGCAAGATCACGAGCCACACCCAATGAAATTATTTAGATTGCTTTATAGCTATACTTACATACAGAACAATACAGCACTGTATAAAGTCATCAAAGTATATTGTACCGTTACCCGCGCGATCGTACTTTCGTATCAGCATGTCAATTATTTGATCGCTTAATCGGTACCCAAAGTTTATAAGAGCTGTCTTCAATTCATTGCGATCAATGTTACCGCTATTGTCGCGATCAAACGAGCGGAAGCAATTCTCCCAATCGGTCACGTACTTCCATAGTGCTCCGAATTCTTCGAAACTGACAGTACCTGTCTGCTTCTTATCAAACATACCTGTAGCAGGATCGGATTTATCAAACATACCTGTGCCAACAAAAGCAAGGAACAAAATAATAATAATATCAAAAGACCATGCAAATCAATATATCGTACATACATAATTTTATAATAATATATTGCAAAAACTAAAAAGTGTGCAACATGCTGTGATTTAAAAAAAATTAACAGCATAATATTCATAGAAAGAACAATTTGTTCAAGTATCTAAAAATTTAGCTAGATGTGGATATAAATATAGGCATACATTTGAAAATAATTTTGTTGAATTATTATAAAATTATTATAAAATAATTATGAAGAAATCTCAAACATAATGAGTAATGTTACAAAAAGTTTTGACATTCCAGCAATCAATTTGAGTAAATGCGCAATTATTTTGATAACTCAACAAAACTATTTTCAAAAATGTATCTAGCTAAATTTTTTTAATACTTCAGCAAAATTGTTTTTTCCATAAATTGGAAGTTTTTTTAGCATCAAGCGACAGATATTCAGCCTTCTCCATTTAGAGTATCTATAGAAAAGATGAGAAGATTTTAAGTATAGAAGAAACTATAGATACAAGTAATCAATGTATTATAAATTCACATGGTCGTTTTGAAAATATACTATAAACATGTCATACCAATCATTAGACGTACAGTTTCAGGATTAAATGGCGTCCATGTACCATTTGACAAAGCTTGTTGTAGCTCATCAGCACTGATTGCACCAGACCTGTCCTTATCCACCCTGATAAAATCAAAAGAATTGTTTTTCTGGATGAAAAATTATATCTATTGCAGATATAACAAAACACCAAATCCAAAACTTTTACAAATTAACAAAACTAAAGACAAAGATTCTAGTCACGCGAAGAAAGCGAGCGCCTGAAAGTATTTAGAAAGGAAAGGTTATATCTATTACAGATAATAATTACAAAATTACATATTTGTTGTATAAAACGTAAAAAAATTAAAGAGGACTTTGTAGAACCGGCAGATATCATACCTCTGGAATACATCCCAAAGAAATTGCTGACTCGGCATTGGCGATATAAAAGACATTTTCGTAAGTAACGTCCCGACGAAATGAGACAATGGTATCTTGCACGATATTGCGTTTGTTAATAATGCAGATAAACACACGGAGAACTCGAGGAAAACGTGATCTTCGCGACACGTCACTTTCTGCGTCACTTCATATACAGCTGAACTTAGGGACTTGGTTGGACTCGACTGGGTCGAATTGGGCTGGACTGACCAATGTGGACTAATGTCGTTCTGAAATTTTATAGGTGTACTACAATTGCACTTTCCACACTTTAAATGAAATAGTGTCTGAAAGTGGGTCTAGCGGGTTACAGGTGGACAATATTGGAGAAAAAAAAAACAGAAAAATGTAAAAAATTTAAATATAAGAAATGCACTCTGACAATAAAAAATACAATACACCTTTATTTTGAAATTATTTTTAACTATGTTATTTTTTTATGAAGGAAATTCTGGGGAGTTACTATAAAATTTCTGACGAATTTGCATGATATTTTGAGCTATGCAAATTCGGCAATGCATATGTGATTGTATAATTTAATAAAAATAGAAAGAAAAATTCTTTTATTTAAAATAATGTCTTAATTCATGAAACAAACAATAATCTATAAGAATGTCTGGCAGTCGGTGTCTGTTTTGACATCAAAATCTGGCATTTACAAAAACATGGCTATTGTGTGCGACTATTATTTTTAACGTTTGAGTTACAAATGCATATAAAGACATAATTCATTATAATTTAATTAATCCAAAAAATATTAAAGAGATTTTACAAGTAATTATACAATGTTATATGGACAACGTTATCCTATTAAAAGGCTATTATATATTAAGCCTAAAAAAGAGACAGGTGATCAGTGTTCATTTCTTTCCTTGTCTAGTGTCGCATTAGACAAAAATATCAATCTATCTCTTTTTTTTTCATGTCCGGACTTTAAACATTGCAATGAGCAGTACAGAGTTCACTAAAACTAGATGAAGTTTAAGTGATCGATAATACTCTCACTCATTACTATGTGTAATAGTCCTTCCATTCCTACTATTATATAAAATTTTATATAGATACATTGTGTTCTATGTATATAATTTTCATGATATTTCATTATAAAAATATTTTTATAAATATCCCGAAATAGGAGACACAGGTCAGTCGAGATCTTTAGATAGACTTCATGCGTTAATATTAAGTCTAATTAATATTAAGTTCTAATTTTTAGGTTTATTTATCTTCCATGCTCCGATTCTGTATCTAAGCCAGATAAAGAATAGATCTCTACCCATCTGCAACCAGCTCCAAAACGGTATGATCTTAGAGCCCTCGATCTCCGTCCAGTTTACTGCTATTTCAGTCACAGGAATGTTGAGAGTCTGTGCGATGTAAAGCATTTCTACATCAAATGCCCAACGTTCGACATGTAGCGCTTCGAATATTGTTCTCGCTGATTTTCTCGTTAAAAGTTTGAATCCACACTGCGTATCTCTAATGCCCCTGACGCACAACAGCCAGACTAAGAAATGAAAGCCGTGCATAAGAAAGAGTCGGAAGTAGGATCGTTTGGCAGTTTCTTCTTTTTCCAAATGTGCTCTCGAGCCACATATTACTGCATCGGACGATGCCGTTTTCTCGGGTTTGTTAATGTAATCAACTAAAACCAATTTGATAAAATTAATAACATTAATATTATAATTAGTAGCTCTAGAATCAGGATTTTTATTCCTTTTTCAACTTACATCCTAAAACATTTATCAGATTCTCATCTAACTTCTTCAAATCATTGAACTTAGTAGCACCATCTGCATCTGCAAACAATAAAGCGCTGCCTCTTGCACTCAGCATACCCTTGAATAAATAAATTAAAATATAATAATTATATTACAATCTAAGATTGACTTATAATTTACTTAATGCTACAAATGAAGCAATCTTTGATTGATCAATTAATAAAATTCTCTCTTCTGACTGGTCAATTAAACGATTCAAAGCATTTGTTGCATCAAATAGATTGCATCCAAAGCTTCTCAATTCCATCAGAATTACTAACCAATCTTACAGCTCCACCTTTCCCTCTATTTTTTATAAGGTTTAATACTTTTAGAGTGCTGTATTTTGATGCATAATGATGCGCCACGTCAACAGTCTTATCTGTACTGCCATCACTGACTACTATCACTTCATAAGTCAATCCAGACTTCCTACGTTCTTCCAGATACTCCAGACATTCGTCCAACATGGGAGGTACTTATTAAATAATAATAAAAATATACAAATAAATAATTAATAATATCTACAGATAATACATATGCAACAAATCTTACAAATAATCAAAGTTGGGAAATATTAAATTGAAAAAACAGGCAATTAAGAGCTTTAATACACGGTAATTGGTGTGATTACATTTTCAAATAACATATGTTTCACATCTTACATAATTATAGCGACCAAACGTTTTAGCTCAATTCAAGTCATCTTCAGCAGTCTTTTATAATTCTAAATTCTTGATAAATTATCAGATAAACGTACATTACATCTTTGTTCTTACATCTTTGTTCTTCATTGTAAGCAGGTACAATGACACTGAGTTGTACGCTCCAAGGGTCATGTAATGAAGGAAACGCCTCCTTTATCTTTGTCTGACAGTTGAAAAAGAATTTTTCGCTTTCATCTCTCGATATTTTGGGATACCGTTCGCTTATCACATATATTATTATAAAAAACTAAAACAGATACGTATACTTATGTAAATATATAATATATTTATTTAGAAGGCATTGCATTATAAAAATAATTAATAAAAAAGATTGTATTTTGTATAATTGTATAAAATAAAGTAAAGTATAAACTAAAGGAAATTATTTTTTAAATTATTACTTATGACACTTAGATATTAAAAAAGATGGAAGTGTAAGATAACCTTAACATACCAAGATTATTGAGAGTACAGCCAACAATACTCCATAACAGAATAGACATCCTAATGATAACATTTCAGTATAATAAGACACTTAACAATTAGAAAATGAAAAATAAAAGATATATATTAAACATATCTTTCTTTCCATTCCGGTAGTATACTGTAGTACGTCACCTAAAAGCAGGGTTAGGTTAGTTGGATACACATAAATACCTTACGTTTTATGCAAGGAGTTTAAAGCCTATTCTACAATGTGCTGTTTGTTTCCTGCTTCTTGTTTTTTACCTTCTGCTTTTTTTTCTTTGCACCCGTTTTATCGACAATTATATTTCTTGATACATATTTTTTGTTTCTTTCAAAGTTCGTTAACTTATCTCGGAGGAGACACAAAACAAAAAACCAGATAAGAAGCAAAAAGACAAGATGTAAAAAATAATAAAAAGTAAAAAACAGGAAACATAGAGCATATTGTAAACTAAGCTTTATGCGCAAAGAACTTGAGTATTCTGACTCATGTTCAAATTCCCATCCGGGTGTTCTTTAGGTATCATGTCATCCTTGTTTAATATACGATAAATAACAAGGATAATAGAGTGATATCTGGATGGCACTCAGGTGGGAATCTGAACATAGCCCTGCTCAGATAACTAATTTGAACCTATCAAAAATCATTATTGTGGAATACACTTTCTGATATTACAGTTTCTTGAAATTCTTATTCTCTATTCTCTGTTCCCTGTTCCTTTTATTATGCGGAGCCCTTAAGGGTCTATCTAGACAGCGTTAGGAAATCTTATCCGGATACCTGCCTTTGTATATCATCCTATCTTTGTTTAACATTGAATGAACAACAAGGAAAAACGATACACTCGGGGTAACGTTTACGAACATAGCTCTAATCTTTTTAGTTTTTATTATTTTTAATATGATGTAAACTCAATAATCAAATTCGAGTCCTCTATATTTCAATGAAAAGTATTTAAAATTCATGTGACTAGAGCATGAATGTAATCGTTGTAAGCGCTTGCTAGCATTGTAGTCACAATTCTCACTATTATATTTAGCCGGTTCTACATTAGTGTAAGCTGATCGTAAGTTTATTGCAATAGCCAATCTGAAGCTTGTATTTTGAAATCAACACTTCATATTGGCAACAAACTTGCGACAAAGTACAAACATTTGTTCATGATTGTGAAATACATGAAATTGAATGTCATTCTTCATAGATCATATTTTAATTTCTTTATAGCTTATAGGCGGTATTCATAGTCCATTCTTATATTTTAAGGCCGTCTTAAGTATTGAGTCATCTAAAAAGTATCCGCGGTACTTTGTCACTAGATATATGACCATCAACGCACATCTAGTGATAAAAAACCGCGGATACTTTTTAGATGACCCAATAATATCTTAAGATACTAATGTTGCCCTTTGATTGGCTTATGACATCTTAAGACTGTACTTAATGTATGGTTACAATGGGCAGTAGCAATAGTGGATTAAGAATTAGGCGTAGAAATCGACCAATCATTGAATGCGAGAAAAATAATCAACTATGATTAGTCAATTTCTACGCCTATTCCTTAATCAACTATTGTTACTGCTCATTGTAGACTATGCATAATGCATGGTCGACAATGGCAGCATCAGTAATGGATGAGACTATAGAGTAAGAAATTGACCAATCACAGTCGATTATTCTTCTCATATTCAACTGTTTCAATTTAATTTGTTACTCATACAACCTCATCCACTATTGCTACTGCCATTGTGGACCACGCATAAGTCTAGTTTCCACCGAAGATTTAATCCGGATCAGAATGTAAGAGCTAACCAACTACAGTCGAGTATTCCCCTGTTACATTCGAACGATAGGGGCTCGATTGTAGTTGATTGGTTCTTACATTCTGATCCGGATTAAATCCTTGATGGAAACTAGTCCACTTATATATTCTTTTAGAACATCCAATCAACATTTTAGATCTGGAAGAATACCTCAATAGCAGCGAACGCTACTCAACTATTGAGTCTGCTGAATGCAGTCTATGACAAAATAATCGACGCAATTCTGTAAAAAAATTTTATGAACATCCAGTATTCGCTTATTCTTTTAATTTAATGGAAATATTCGTAACAAAAATAAAATCGAAGGTTATTCGAAAATATATTTTAACAAAAAATAATTTAAAAAATATTTGTAAGCAATGCTAATAATTTACCGTTTTTAAATTGCCTTATCGATTATTATCGATATTTTCTTAAATTTAAAAAAAAATTGAAGATTTATTCTATAAATATAATTAATGGAACTTTATGTA